AGAAACTTTCGCAATGTGTAATTAAATTCACTTTAACCAAGACTTCTTAAAATAAACGACTTTTTTTTTACGAAAAAACAAAGAACGATTTGAAATGCAATATACTTTTCACAATCGCACGGAAGAATTAGTTTTGTATGACACGTCAGTTAGACGACAGGTCCGTCAGAAACGCCAACTATTGAAATTAATTCGAAGTGGCGATTCCCATACAAAATTTTTAGAATTTTTTTATTTTTTAACTGTTATTATTATAAAAAAAATTTCAAATCGGTCAAGCCGTTTTTGAGTCTTAGCGAGACTAACAGGAACAGCAATTGATTTTTGTTTTATAGATGATTAAAAAATGGGGGTTGGTGGTAGAAAGGTGAAAATTTACGGTTATGTGTATTTTTTGATGCCAAATCTTAAAAAAATAAAAATAAAAAATTTTGTCCAAAAAATAGACAAACATTTTTTAGGGTGGGCCACCCTTATCACTTAGGGGTTTAAAAAATAGTTTACAACCTATTGTCGGACCTACTTAATATAAATAAAAAATTTCATACAAATCGGTCAACCCATTTCGGAGAAGTTCGATTACAAACACTGTGACGCGAGAATTTTATACATAATGCATTATTATTTTAGAACAAGTTTCATTACCATAAAAAAGGTTATACTGACTCGACCTTAAAAGATAGACATATGCTGTCGCGGACTTTTCTTTAGAACTTTTAGAGGGGAACAATTTCGTCATACATGATTTTTACGTAACTTTAACCGTTTAAGCAGCGTAAGCAACGGAAGCTGTCAAAGGAGGAATAATTTTCCCGTTTTTCCGAATTTTTCATTGCTACTGCGCTCCTAATGATCGTAGCGTGATGTTATATAGCCTATACGTAGATAGGATACATGAACTATCCAACACAAAAAGATTTTTTGAATTTGAACCAGTAGTTTCTGAGATTAGTGTGTTCAAATAAACAAAAGCTTCAGCTTTATTATATAAGTATAGATATAGATTAGTAAGAATGCAGGTATTATTTGGTACTTGGAACTTATTTCAGTCAGTAGTGTCATTATTCAATACTCATATTCATATAGCGTCATAGTTTTCAAGCAGGACAGTCCTGTTAAAATAATTTTTAAAACTTATTTGTCAATATTCAGATATTTGTGCAAATCAATTTTTGTATAAATTTAAATTCGGAGAGTTCTGTGGAAATTTTAGTATCAAGTAGATATATGTTCAATGTGTGGATGTTGAACATTCAGAAGATGAATTTTGAAATTTTGAAACTTTAAAAATTAAAGACGTCCTCAATTTAAAAATCAAGCCATTACAAAGGAAACAATCCATTTTTAATACTTTTTGCATTATCATTTACTCGAAAATTTTCATTTAACAAATATGAGCACTATTCGCTTAAGCAAGTTTTTTAGTTTTTAGATTTTTCAACTTTTGAATATTTCATTTGATAATTTCTTTCACAATTTGCAGAAGCATGGCAGTCACTACCAGCAGATTACCATCGAAATCTGTGCCTCTCCATACCAAGACTATACGGTTAAATGGATCTATGACAGAATATAAATTTTGACTTTTAAAATCATTTTAGTTTAAAAGTATACACTTGTTAAACTGAAAAGGCATGGATGAGATCAATAATTATTAGTTTTGAAGTTATGAGCAACAAAAAAAAATATGCTTATTTGATTAAACTCGCAAATGGGTGCAAGAATTTTGTTAGTCATTGTGGCAATATCAAAAATAAAACACATTTATCTAAAAACTTGAATAAAGACAATAAAAAAAGAAACAGCAAAATGGTACTTCATTGTTTTTACTTAACACTCAGGGCCGGATTTAACTATTCTAATGCCCTAGATACCAAAGACTGGTGGTGCCCACAACCCTCCCCAGGAATAAGGGAGTATTTGCATAACACCTTTACACTTTATTAATTTTTTATTGAACAAAAATCTACCTTCATTTACAAGTTATACTTGTAAATATATGGTCTAAAACATTTATTATCATATTAAATGATTCCAAGATTGCTGAAGTTGTACAACATGAGCCTCTCAAAGGGTGCCCGAAAGTGTCTTCAAAATGCTGTCATTTTGAATAGCAGATTTCGTAAGATTCTACCCGTCTGTCGAAGCCGAAAAAAAAATTATACACTGTATAATAGAAAAAAAATTAACAGCAATTTGACATTTTTTTTTAAATTGTGGCAATGTCAAAGGGCTTTTTAAATTTATTAATAATTTACGAATTTTAATTTTATTTTAAACATAAAAAAATTCTTCAATAAAAAATGAAATGACGTTCATTTTTATGAAAATTACAAGAACTGAAAACTTACCTTTTCTAAATATGACTGACAACAATAACATTTACAGTAAAAAGGTGCTAAAGTAAAAATCAAATTGTAATGCTACTGCACAAATTGCAAAGCGTCGAAAGCTACTAAATCTGCTACTGTACGATGCTGAAACATATTGTTTCTTAAATGACCTTTTTAGAAAATCTCCTATTTAAATTCTCAGGAATTTCGGAAACTAATTTATGGTCTTGCACACGGTTTGTACGCAAACCCACCTTTATTAGCATAAGGGTACGGGTTCTATAAGGTTCAGAATTCCGTACGGATTGCTCGCAAACTGGCCGCCTCTGCACATGTGATTTCTTGTGTCAGCAGCGGTGACCTACCACAAAGAATTACTCGAACAATTAAAAATTTGTCAATGAGTACTAAGATAATAATAAAATGTTGCAATTTTTTATTTTAAATATACATTTCCAAAGGTTTTGGGGCCCCTCCAGCTTTGATGCCCTAGGCCAGTGCCTAGTGTGCCTTATTATAAATCCAAAGCTGTTAGCACTCCTGAGAGCCTTCAAATCAGAAGTAAGATTAGGTGTTTGTAAAGCCACATTTACACTTTAATGTCAATCTAATGTTAAGAAATTTTTTCTCCGAAATAGTACTAGCCCCACCCACCCGCTCTCTTTTTTCTTAGTACTTCCTAAGCTACGACTGATTTTGGCCAATGATATGTATACCCTCTAAGAAAATAAAGAGCTAGGTATAATTTTTGATGTCTCCAATTTTTCGAACTGCATTTCTTCAATTTTTCTCTTTTTTTGTTAGTATTTGCTAAGATAAAACAGATTTTGGCAAATAACATATGCTCTAAGAAAAGAGAGGGCGGGTGGGCGGGCCTAGTACTTGCTAAGATAAAACTGATTTTTGCAAATGACATATCTTCTACGAAAATAGAGGGCGGGTGGGCGGGGTTAGTACTTCCTAAAATATGACTGATTTTGGCAAATGATATGTATACCCTCTAAGAAAATAAAGGGCGGGTGGGCGGGGCTAATATTTGCTAAGGTAAGACTGCACAATAATAAGAATAGTCACTGGAATGAAGAGGAGGTCAATGGGGTGGGCTACTGTTTGTTCACAAAAACTCTTAAGAAAAAAGCTAAACTCAGCTCCGCCCACCTTTTTCGATATTTCACTGACTTTTATTTACTGTACAGTGGGAATTGAATTGTATTTTGACAAGCGGTAGAACCTTAGATTTAAAACAAAGTCAAAAGTGCCCATCCACCCGTCCATCCTCTATTTTCTGAGAGGCTATATCATTTGCCAAAATCACTCTTATCTTTATAAATATTAGCCCCACCCACCCGCCCTTTATTTTCTTGGGGTATGTCATTTGCCAAAATCAGTCTTATCTTTACAAATACAATTTCAGTTTTTGAATATTACAACTTATGAAAATTTCGATTTTTTCGACCTCAACAGTATAATTAAATAATTAAAAATTAATAGACAGTTATACATAGATGTGTATTTTTCATCTAGCGTAAACTACAATTGAAAATGTCAAATTTATTCCGATAATTATTATAAATTCTGCACATAGTTGTAATGAGCGGAAACATATGTACATTTGTTCTAGAAATTTCAGTATAAAAACAAAGGATTTCTAATGTTTGACCGGGGAACTAGAAAGTACAATTTTTCAACTAAAGCATTAGAGTCTGCAAGACCATTCACCAATTTAAAAACAAAACAGCGAAACAAAGTTTCTCTCCTCTTTTCCAAGCTTGGAATTGAAAACCAAGAAGAGTATATATAAAATGTATATGTAAATATATATCTCATCATAATGATCAATGAAGGAAAATGGAAACATGGTTCAAGATGAAGCCACCAATTTTATACTCGTATATGCTATTGATATGCTTTAGAGAATATGTCAATCATTTAGGAATATTCAGGGCCAACCCTTTTACATTTCATACGTGTTCTAATTTATAAAGATCAGCTTGAAGGAGAAGGTGGTCAGAAAACGTTGTTATTTCTCTAAAGATTTTTAGATCATCAGCATATAGAAAACACTCATAATAATACTAATGTCATTAATAAACAAAATAAATAACAAGGGTCCAAGAATGGACTCTTGGGGTACACCAGAAATAACATGTACCTCAGTTAACTGAAAACAGCCAATAATAACAAACTGTGTCCAGCCAATTAAATAAAAACTAAAAAGTTTAATTAGGCGATCTGACAGACCAAAATTATCCAACTTGGCCATTAATTTAGGGTGGTAACAACACTGTGACCTATAAAAATTTTGACCAGAAGAAAATCTATTACAAGTAAATCACTAAAATTTATGTTATTTAAATTATATCGATACGAGGCAAAATTTTATTAAACCGCCACCACGTTGACAATCAACATCTGAATACTTTCCCTCCTATAGATTGTGTAATAGGTTTAAAATTATTTCAATAAAACACTAAAATGGCACCATTAACAGAAACTGAACGAATAGAAAACTTCATGACGGTAGGCTATGCGGACAGACGTCAAAGCAATCCTGAAGTTGCAGCACTATTTAATGAAACTCATCGGAATTGAGAAGAAGTCTCTAGGTCGTTTCAAAAACATTGCGCAGATTTAACGAAGCTGATCATGTTAGAAATCGTCAAGAAGACCAAAAAATGTTACAAATGACGAGAACTCTCCATCTGGTTTCAACAAGATGGAGCACCACCTCACTTCGGATGTCAAGTACGACATTACTTGAACTACACTTTTCCTGGAAGGTAGATAGGACAAAGGGGAGGAGTTGAGTGGCCAGCTAGGTCACCCGTTTTAACCCCACTTGACTTTCTCTGTGGGGTTATGTAAAAAATCGTGTTTATGTTAATAGACCACAAAATATTGAAGAAGTCCAAGAAAGAATATTAACTGTGAATGCTGATATTTCTTCTAATATTCTAATAGATTCATTTGAAAATCCAGTCTTATGAATACAATCAGAAATTGTCTGATACTTAACATGAATATTCCATGATTTTGTTATGGCATCCATATAATCCTTGAATATTTTTTTAATGAGGATATCTAAATCTTTTAAGAATTATGATCTAATCAAGCTTTCTTCTATGCCCTCGTTTTAAGTAAACTGGAATACGCATGTTTGATTTGGTATCCTTTGTATTTAAAACACAACATGATATTAGACAAAATTTAAAAAAAGTTCCTAAAATTTCTTTCATTCAAATGTGATGGAACATATCTAGAACGAGGGACATATCCTTCTTCAACGTCATCGTCTTCACTTCCATATTGAGGAGATATACATTGTCCAAACTTTGTAGTGAAACGTGTGAATAACAAAACTGATTGTGGAAGTCTACACGTCAATATAGGATTCAATGTACCTCGATTATCGTCGATAATATCCCAAGAGCTCGCACCAACGTATTTCGTCGCGCACCAGTTACTACAACGAGTGCAAATAAAGTCATACCACACATATTCACCATTACAAGTTAATCCGTAACAAAGTAATAACATTGTCTGAGTGAATTACTGTATTATTTTATTTTTATTGCTGTCCTGTAAGTAGGAATTTGTTTCTGTTGGACAATAAAGTAAAGTATTATTATTATAATTAAAAATCCTACGCCACTAGTTAAATTGTAAATTTTCAACTGACCGTCATTTTGGGTGGAAAAAACCTCAGTTTATCACATTTTTTTAGCTTTTATTTTATATCTTGCGGATAATCTGGGACAGAACTTTTCTTCCTGCAGCGCAAAACTCTTCATCCAGGTCAAAAGCTCCTTAAAAAATTTGTGACGTCATCCTTGTTAAAATTTTGATTCTGAAGTGTTATTTTTTTATATATAGCCATTCGGTATGTGTAATTGAAAATGTTTCACACTTCTGATTAGTTGCATTAAATGGTGCTCAACTGTGACAAAAATGTGGGCAATAAAGATCTTTGAGAATCAATACCCCCACGGCTACATTATTCGTTTTCAATCAATCGATTTATACACCTTTGTATTAATGCTTCCTTGTAAGAAAGCGTTAACTTGATCAATTGTACGATGCTTTAATAATCTCTTATCTCAAATTGTATACCTGACTGAACAATTACCTTTTATTTGAAATAAAGTCACGGTAATCCTGGACCAACATGGGCGTAACATATCACACGTTAAGCAACAAAAGTATAAAATGTGGTAATAAAACTGAAAATTTTGTATTTCATCTGTAGCTTTGAGTACACTGGTTCAAACTGATAACAAAATGAAATCTGCTGCTGTCATTGTGATAACGCTTTACTGTGTGTTTGGTACGAATTTTTTCGTTTCGGGTGATTTAATGAGGAGTCAACCTAGCCCCTTACGAGGTAGGTAAATATTTTTATAAATAAAACTTGAATGTCAAAACTGAAAGGAAAATTAAAATCGTTATACACGATTTGTAATGGTGATATTCTACCTACTTTAACGAAATCTTTAGTTACAATAAAAGTAATGCCATGATTTATCCTCTTGTAGCACCTGGAGCCTGCTACGAAGACCACATTGGACACGTACCACCAGGAAAATGGACAATTCCTGGAAGATGTGTCCAAGTTACCTGTACACCATCCGGGGATATGACCTTTGCCGGGTTATACACATATCTTATTTTAAACACATTAAACACAAGTTATAGTGCTACTACAGTGTGAAACTTTAAAAATAACTTATCTTATTAACAGCACATCTGCAAAAACATATATGTGGTGGCCACAAATCAGACTCTTTCTTTTTTGATCTAAAATCAGAAAACGTATTAATTATACTAAGTAACTTGAGCCCAAAAAAGTTCATTAGTCATGAAAATAACATACACTCATCAGTAAAACCCACAATTGAGCGTATCTTACACTGCACGCCTTATCACTTTTACAAAAAAAGCACCACCAAAAGCTCTTTATTATAATACTAATAATATTATTTTTCATATTTCAGATGTCCACAAACATTTGCAGATCCGCACTGTTTCATAACCGGAGTTGATCTTTCAAAACCCTATCCAGCTTGTTGTCCACGACCTGCATGTTAAAACAAGTGGACTAAATTGCAAGAATGTTTTGACAAAAATTTAAAATGTCTACTTTTAAATAAAAGTTACTACTTCCTAAGATTTTCTCTCTGTGTATACAACCGTTTTATCCAAGCGCACTCTTTCTGCCTCTAAAATCCGAATCATGTTAATGTTACGCCTTTTCTTAAATATTATCCATTTGAAATTTTGTACGTTTTCTGAAGCTGCCTCATTATTACTATTATTTGGCCGGCATTCAGGCAAGTATTCTATCATTACCTTGATAAAATGAAACTATGTTCTTAGAATTGAGCATGCAGGCTACATTTGCCAGGCATCATATGATAGTTGTCTACACTACTTTGATCTAGTCTGCTTTGTGCTAATCAAATTTTAAAACACAGAAGTGTTTATGAAAAATGTTAATTACGATTTCTCATTTGAGTCACTTCACTGACATTTTTTGGTATATTTAGTTTTTTATCTTTTGCTACAGTTATGATTGTTGTCTTGTCATTTTATTTCATCATTTTTTTTTTAATAGTTCGTTATATGAATACAATTAATTAATGAATAGTTAGGTAATGGCATTGTAGAGGAGTACACTACAAACCTGGGTAAAACTCAACAATTTATTTCACAGTAAGACCAAACTACACCACTAAGTGTACAGTGATTATGTACAGAATAATTCCGACTCGACTGGAATGGTTTTGACTAGACTCTACTTCTCTCATTGACCGGGCTCCACTGGTCGTTTCTGAAGGTGGTTCCTGTTAAAAAAGCCGGCGCTCCTTTCTAGATATTTCGCGACCAAGGTTCTTCTCGCCGTCAGTGATAATGAGTCATCAGTCATCAGCGTTCATACTAGAAAACCCATAAGCCTCGTACTGGGGCGGCGCATGGGTTTATTTCGTAACAATGTGTAAGTAAAAACAGGAACGTTCATATCAAATCCAGGAAAAAACAAAATCGTACTCGTCTTTATAGCGCAGATTCTGACTACGGAAAGCATACTGACATTGAAATGGATGTACTGCATATATCAGAAAATGAATTCGAAACAGAAAATCCAAATTTTTATATAGTTTCAAACAAGTAAATATTTCATAAATTGAAGAGAGAATCCGTGATCAGAATACGAACCCCTAATGGTACGAAGAAAGAAGAAACTCGGGCGGCTAAGGTAACAGAACTTCAAAAATTTACAAGTTGATTTTGTTAGGTCCAATTTCCATGATTTTTATTAAATTTTTTAAAGTATCCAAATATCCTGGTCCAGAAATAAAAATCCGTTTTGGGGTGTCGAAAACCTCAGAAATTTGAATAAGATTTTTGGCTCTTTTTCGGTTGTTTATTGTTCCATGTCAAATGGACCACTTTTGAACTTTCGAGTTAGCTGAAATTATTAAATTTTTTTCAAGAGGACGTTTCTGGAAAATTTTTCAATTTTTTTTTACCCAACCAAAAAAAGTTATGAATTTAAAAAAAATGGCTCTTTTTCAGAAAACTGTAGCATTTTCAAAAATTGAGTTATCGGGACGTTTTTTCAAATTTTTTGTCTTTAAATGTATTTTTAAAAAAAATTGTAAAAAAAATTTTCATGTGAGGTTCTATGAGATTTTTCAATTTTTGAGAAAAACCGTCAATATTTCCGACATAATTATCACATGAAGGATTACATTGCGCTTTAGTCTTACGGTGTATATACTTTTTTGCCCTCTCGGGACTATAGATACTAAATTTTAAATTGGAAGAAAATATTCGAAATTACCAATCATCAATCGCGATAGTAAGCCTTGTCGGGTAACCAAGGCTTACTATCAAAAATTCAAAATAAGACGAGCTATTTTGAATTTTTCGATGTGTTTATATTACCACTTTATGTTAAAAAGTGTTTGATTGTCATGGAAACACTTTTTATCCCTAGGGCCAAAAAGAGCCACTTCAGTCCCGATTTACAGGAACTAAATACCAATTTTAGTCCCGGGAGGGCTATGTATAATAAACATAGTTTTTACAATAAAAAAATTAAAAATCGAGATTTTTTTTATTGAAAGAAAAAAATAGAACGCAAATTCGGCCCACTCCCGCTTTCACGGGGATATGTCCAGAAAAAATCAAAGTTTTTTTTTATAAAAAAAAAAGTCCGACTTCGAGAAATTGACGGTTTTTCTCAAAAAATTGATAAACCTCAGGACCTCACATCAAAAATTGTTTTCAATTTTTTTTTCTGAAAAGTACATTTAAAGACAAAAATTTTGAAAAAAAGTCTCTAAGTCAATTTTTGAACAAGTTACGTTACAGTTTTCTGAAAAAAAAAAAACATTTTTTCGAAAAATTCATAACTTTTTTTGGTTGGGTAAAAATATAAAAATTTCAGCAAAATCGAAAGAGGTGGGGTTCAAAAGTGGTCGATTTGGCATGGAATTACCCTATACTTATTACATTCAAGAATCAGTAATATCGTATCTACTGTTATTGACTATTGCTACTTGGCCTTGAAATAAAGGAACCTACAGTATATAAACAAGAGAAAGCTAAAAAATCAAGAGAATAACACACATTTAAACAAAATACACGTCATTATGATTATAAGTTAAAATAAATGTGTCCTAATTGATTTAATTCGATTATAATCATATATGCCACACAGTAAAAGTGCCATGGCGAAAATTTTCATTTTAACTGGTTTCTAGAGACCAAATAGATATACAGAGTGAGTCACTAAGCACGTGTTCCTTGATATCTCATTAATTATTTATTACAAAGATAAAAAAAGTCAAAGACCAAAATTCTATGGTTGGATAAAATTATTTTTAACTATACAGAGTATTCTCTTTTTAATGCGTAATACACAACCTAGTTGTTTTAAATGAAACACTTTATATTTCTTTATCTTTACATATTTTGATTGACCTCTTCTTAGATTTAACAACCTTAGTTTATTTTTGAAATTACGATGCAAAATTGTCACGTTATTCCAATTTTCTTGAAATTCTTTGGCAGTGTTGTACTTACTGTTCTTTATTCTATTTTTTGTTCTCTTTTTTTTTGTTGAGTATTTCCTACATTTAAAGTTGATAGTTACTGCGATGTTTTATTTTTTTAAGAGACACATCGACATATTAGATGAATGAGGACACAAATAGGGTAAGATATAGTAATAAAATACAGGATGGTTTTTGCAGGAAATATGGATTTTGCGATTATGGGACGGAACCTAATTGCAAAATCGATATTTCCTTATACAGGGGGCGCAGACCGTAACGTAACCGATATATTTTTTACAATGTACAAACGAGTAAGTACATATTTATATTACTTTTTGAATTTGGTGCATGAGGGCGCTTACTATAGACTGTGGGGGGGGGGGGGGGGGGCAGTGGAAGTTAGCTACGCCACTGAAAAGAAGTATTATAGATATTAAAACAAAAAGGCAAAATATGGAGCCTGCCCACCCACCCCATCTCAATTGTGATGATTTTTTTAATTCTTAGAAACTTAAAACACGCTTAAAATGGTAAATTTTTGTAAGGAAATATGAACTTTGCATTTAGGCTCCGCCTCTAGGTCTGCCAACGAATGAAAACTTCACTACTATTTACATCAGGGCAGATATGGATGGGGCCTAATCGTTGGCTTTAATTTTTTCTTAATATACATAACTAGTATTCTTTGAATAACACGATACTCAAACAAATGTCTTACATGGTAATTTCTTGTAGAGAAATAAGAAGAATTTTGCATTTAAATTCCGCTTCTTCGGCTCTCGACGATTAAAAAAAAATCATCACACTTGAGATAGGGTGGGTGGGCGGGGCTTATATTTTGCCTTTAATTTCTTAATATACATAGCCGTCTTTTCATAACAAGAAACTTAAAACATGTTTAAAATGGTTGTAGATAAATATGGATCTTTCAATTAAGCCCCGCCCCTCGATCTGACAACGAATGAAAAATTTATCAGAATTGAGAATTGAGATCGGGGCGGGTATGGGTGGGGCCTAATCTTTGGCTTTATTTTATTTTATTATTTTTTTTTTAATACAAAGTATTCTTTGAACAACACGATACTTTAAAACATGTTTTTAATTTCTCGTAGAGAAATAAAGATTTTGCAGTAGAGCTCCATCCCCTTGGCTCACAACGAATAAAAAAAGTCATCACAATTGAAATTTTTAACCAGAAAAAGAATAGCAATAATTTTTCACATTTATTTTTAAAATATTAGAAAAAAATATGGTGTTATAGAAATAATAAAATAATAATATTGTAATAAAAACTAAATTTTAAATTAAAAGATTAAATAAGTTGGAGACATGTTAACTTCACTTAATTACTAAAACACGAAAAATAAGCTTATTATTAAATAATTTCCACGGAAAGCTTATTCTAGATTACAAGTATCTTATCAGCAGCAGCACGTTGATATCCCAATATAATTACAAAGATGAGAAAAGTACATAACCCTATAAATTATGATTTGCGAAAATACTTTGTTTTTCGCGATAACAGCCAAAAACAACTAATTATTACCTAACAGAACTATGAACACAACTGTGAAAGCACTGCTCAATATGCAACATTGACATCGATGAATAATGCATTTAGGTCTATGCCGCTCAATAAATTTCTCGTTAATTAAAGCCAATTAACACCCAGAAATGTACCACACAAACGAAAAATCGACTAATCTCACTCAAACGCATCAAAAATCACACCAGATCTAAATTTAAAAGTCTCGTAAATTTTAATAGCCAATTCACAAAAACATTAAGTAATATTTTATCAATAGCACAATAAACTGGAGGGTTTCCATATCGAACGCCATATGGTCGACATAAACTACATCGTTAATCAAACACTTCGCACATCGAAAATATCATTGTTCTCATATCGAAACGCTAATTAGTGATAAATAAACAGCTCTAATCTGTTACTCACCAGCGGGCTGGTGCGACTCCGGTCCTGCTCTGGCGACGACGTTTCGGCCTTTTCCGGCTTCTCATCAGGGCAAATGGTTATCTTTTCGGGAACTTCAACGGACGGCAACACTGTTATTATAGGCGTTGAAGAACTGATACGTGACGCTGGCTCTTCTGTGTCAATTCGCCATGTTCTGGCCATTTGAAGGAGATGCATTAAGTTTGGCATTGCGGTGGAGCCCCACCTGGGGCACGCCTAGGTGTCCTGTAAAGGATTCGCAAAAATTGGCAAGAGGACACGACCATTAAAAAATCAAGAAAAAATACTCAGGAAAATTAGAAAAAGAGTTTAATTTAGTGTTTAAATCGGGTTCTACTTCAATTCATTAACCTAGAAGACTGAAAATTACCGTGTTAACCAATAAATCTAGATTGCTTCCACATTCACACAAGTGTTTTATTTTTCATTGGCTTTTTGCTTTCCGAGTAATTTCTAATGAAATCAACTCGTGGAATACAAAATGCAGGTTTCTAATTCGATCTGTTTCCTTATGGCGATGTTATTAAAGTAAAAGCCAACGAACTGATTAGTATGAATTTTAAATTGAGTTCAAATTTGTTATCAAAATGTTTTAACCTAAATTGTCTGTTCATCTCGTCCAAAAATTGATGACGTCATATTTATTTGGCTGTAAATTAAAAATGAAATTGTAAAAATAGACAGGTTATTGTTGTCATTTGAATAATTTTCTGACTTTATCCCGTAAGCTAGCTGAAATTTATTCACACGTAAGCATTTCATAAACGATTTGCATTTATTTGGAGATTATCACGAAAGCCGCCGACAGGAAGTAATTACGCTACATTTTGCCTTTGCATGTTAACTAATATGATTTGACAATGTCAAGTTCATGAGAATGCATGTGTCAGGTTCATGTGGCACTTCGTTAATTGAATGAAAAAATAATACGTTGCATGATGTTGTAGTGAAAAGGATGATGGAAGAGGGAATCGATACTGCTCAGTTAATGAGTTCTCTATTTATTTAGTCATAATCTAAAATTGCGGCGAGTTAATTGAATTAGTTTCACATGTATTTTTAACGCAGATAAGTGATGAAAGAATGTAAGGTTTCGTGAAAAAAAAGTTTAATGAAAATTTGTTAGGTGGGGACCGTGATAATTGGTTCTAATAATACGTTTAAATTTTAACACGAAATAATTTTGAGTCGACTCCCATACAGTTCTAGGTATAGAAGAGCGTAACTGACAGGAGATGTAATTAACTGTAATAAACTTGTTTGCGTTCATATCATAAACACAAACACAACAAGCCTATAAAATATCTATAAAAAAGCAGTACAGGAAGAAAGTTTGCATAAATGTAAATGATTTAGTAATTATTTGTAATTTTTTCAAGAACTGGAGGAATTAATGAAATAAAATTTATATTATTTATTAAGTATACCTAGGTCGTTCGGAAATTCTTCCCGGAATTCACCCCAAGTCGCCTGAATCGAGTACTCCCACACAGCGTTTACCTTCAAAAATACGACCCAGTCATAAACGTTTTCTGTTTCAGAGCGAATGTCAAAAATAAAGTTTTGAAAAGAAATTTCTTTCATTTTAAAGTTGAAAATCAGATTAGATGTTGAGAAGACATACGGATGAAATTCCAAGGATGACTCGATTACAAATTCTATTGCTTACCCGATGCTTGTTTTTATTACAACACAACGTAGCCACGTGCATCTCCTCTTTGTAATCTAAAAATCAATCGCTAGTTTTTGCTATAACAGAGATAGTAGAAGGTGGGACAGGACCGTGTGCACTAAATACTGTAAGTTAAATGTACTAGGAACAGCACATTTTACACATAATTCAGCTAGCTAATGCTTAAGATAACGTCATCACAATTTTAGTAGAGATAAACAGATCAGTTGTGCGATCGCAGAGCATATTAGACTTTTTTTTTCGAAAATCTAGACGCCCACGATAAATAATGTGTAGAAGCATATTACTTTGTAAAATTTTGAGATGACGTCATCAGATTGTTGGAGAGGATAAACAAAAAAAATTTGATTAACGTTTACTTATCGCCAACAGATATTAATCATCACCATGTATATTTTTACAAAAATTCTAGAACCTTTTAGTACAAAATAATTACAAAAATTGTTTGTTACCTAGAAATTTCTTAATATTAGTTAATTTAACTATGAAATAAACTTTCCATTTTATATCGCTTCCTTTTTTGTTCCAAAACGATTATTTAATCACAAGTTGCAAACGAACGAGATAGGAAAAAGCTAAAGCTCTGAAGTTTATGTGAAAAGTTCGCTAATTCAGAACTACGATCCCAAATAATCATAAAAGTTTTAGAAATTGGGAGCTTGAAAAGGCGTAATAAGTCAGGGTTTATTGGCCTCTTCACACTTTAAACTAAGTTATGCGTCGTCGGTATTTACGTGTGTATTAAATTATTCAAGTTAAACCGGAAAACTGCGTAAAAAATAGCCTGCGAACTTGAATGTATGGAGTTTGAATTCAAACTGAAAATTTTATTTTAGCAACACGCCCACCTTGTCTAGGTCTCAGGCGAGTCTAAAAAGAGATTATAACAAGTCTAGTGCATGTGTTGAATCACGATATGCGGGGGTGCTCCATCTTGCTCACCGTGGAATTCGTCAGAGGCATTTTTCAGAAATTCATTAATCTATGCTTAATTTAAGATCGTCAGTCAGTTAAAACGGTTACTTTAATTAATGTTCAGTATGTAGAAATATGCCCTTGCTTCTTAAGGTGTAATATACACTGTATAAAAAAACTAGTACGTACCTGATTGTTCTTTTTAAATTTTGTTAGGTTTTACTCATAATTAATTACTTTGTTATAGGTACGTATACATTTATTATTGTGGTATCCTGATTTGAAAAATTAAATTTCTCACCAAGAAAAAAATTGGTCGAAGGGTATTTCGACAGAACTTGCCTCGTCCCTGAAATATAATAAAACATATTCAGTCTTTTCGAAAAAAAAAAAAAATTATTTTGCGAATTTATTATTATTTTTTTTTATAGAACCCCTAGAAGTTAATATGAAAATATGTATACATATATTGCTAAAGTAAATGTAAAGAAGCATACTACGCCTATGTTTCAAATGGGTTTTTCCTTCACAAAATTTTGTGATGCTGTCCTCAACATTTTTCAAGGACACGCATATCAATTGGAATAGGTGCAGTGTGATCCTAATAATGACAGTATTCTGTTCTCCAATTTTCGAGAAAATGGAGTGAGCCGTTCCTGATTTAATCAATAAAATAACTTTACTCAATCAGTAATTTTTTTTTAATCACCCTGTGTAAGCAATTCTAAAAAATATTAATACCATTCATCATATTTTGCACATTTTCGATATATTTTTTTTTTAATAAACAAATATATTTTGATTCTAAATGTATCATGCTTACGATAACTTTAAAATGTTGGCAATATGTCAAAGCATTTGGTTTTGCAGTCTCAAAATTACATCAAAAAGTGTTATACAATTTAGATTTTTGTTTTCAAAAATATGGATGTCTCGGGACTCTCAGGTAAAAACTGAACACGGATTCATAAAGTACACGCATATGTTATTTTACATAATTTAAAACCCATCTACTACAATTTTGAGGTGACGTCATCACATTATTGATGGGAATGATTAAACAAAGTTGGGTTATCGTTTTACCATCAACACTACGTGATATTCATAATACATATTATATCAATAGTTGTTTTTTCGTGCTCTAAAGGTCATGACAACGAAGAAATATGAAAGTAGGCAGTCGTCCGATGGGCCTGATTACAATACTTCCTTAGCTTACGCTCGTGAAGTAAAAACAACGCTGCCAAGCTGCGTTTAAAAAATTGGACAAACTGAAATATATTTAAAGCAAACAACCAACGGAAAACAATGTAATATTAGCACTGTACATGCTTAACTTCGATTGTTTATGTTTATACATCGAAAGAATGTCACGTAGAAATTTGTTTAATTTGAATGGGTTGCCTCCTCAAAACAGAGGACTAAAATTACTAACTAGGCCACAATGGAACATTGATCATAATTAAATCAAGACGTGAGTGTTCTCCCATTTCCTAGAAATGGTTCTTAATTTAATCAGTAAAAAATTGGTCGAAGGCTGTAAGAATAATCCGATAAATCCAGTTCTTTAAAAAAAAATACAGTATTTGATTTTACGATTTTTATTATGTGATAACCGCTGTAAAGTAAAAACCAGCGGCTTAAGTAACACCCCCGCAGCCTCTAGGCTGTACGGACAATGTAGAATATATTTAAAGCACATAACTAACGTGATAAAATATCCTTCAGCACTAGGTAATAGCAATCTGAAGTCTGAAGCTCAAGTGTTCTTAATTGTACCAATAAAAAATTGTAATCACGTCATCAACATGGATAATACTAGTCATAGCACGGAAGAAAAGTAGTAGCGTATTTTCGAAGCAAGAAAAAGAATTGGTCGACGGTTATTTCGACAGAACTTCCCTGGCTCCAGAAAGGTAAACAACACCCTCTCAATCCCTGCACCTCGAGGGTGCAAATTCCAAGAGGGCACGATCTGAACAAATGTGGACATTATGAAATATATTTAAAGCCGATAATCAGTGGGAAACAATGTATTACATTTAGCGAAAAAACTGAAAGCGGATTCGTACACTAGTATATTTTTGTATAATTTTTAAATCATTTTAAAATATCGTTCCATTGACATAACGTCATCAAATTATTGGCGGGGATGATAAGCAAAATTTTAGTTAGCATCTACATGATATTTCTAATATACATACAAAATTTGACAACAATCGGTCCAGCAATGTTGAAGATCACGTGTCTAACAAAAATGGATACAGACAAACAGACAGACCGGCGGAAACAGGAGACTACCTTTTTCGTACTGTATGTGTCATGAAACGTCGGGAAAACATAAAAGTGGCATTTCGTCCGATGGACTCGATTACTATATAGTTGTCCAAGTCTGACTTCGTTTTTATGGCACTGCAATATCAATTACCCCAAGCATTACGAACTCTATTGAAAATATAAATAGCCGTGCCATAAGTCATCTTAAGGGTTTATGGGCGCGTGTCGTGCAGGACCGCCTCTGCTTTCATTCAATGAAGGTAAGGGTGGTGGACAAAAATCTCGTAATGAGTAATAATAACAAAGACAAACATATACATAAGACATGTAGCTACCAGGATAGTTAAAAAAACTGCTTAAATGATTGGTTCCCGAATAATAATAAGGTGAGGTACATAACAACATTCTGGGAGAAAGTACGGCCCTGTGTAGTGTAAAGAGTTGGTCTCTTGATGGTTTATGACCGCTGGATTATTTGCTGCAGAAGCCTATTGTGGAAGACTTAACTCCTTCACAACAGGATGCAGTCGTAAAAACGAACCAGCACTTGGAACACTATACTTCTATGCTCGGAAAGTTAAAATTAAAAAACTGTAGTAACACAGGCAATCACCTATGCGTTTAGGGAAATTGCTAAAAAAAGGTGGGTAGTTCCAAAGGGTTTGTGAGCCACTTCTTGTTTTGATGTGTTAAAATTGGCACGTCTAATTTAGTTTGTAATTTCACAAAAGGCAATTGTTCAAACAAAAATGAATCGCATTCAAAGCCAGTGTTTCTCTAACGAGTGTAATTACTGTGAGACCACTTAATTAGCGATTTTCTATTCCGAAATATTGTAAAACTTTAGTGAATTCATCACCACGCATTATTTTTATTTTATTATTTGTATATTCACAATTTATGATAAGATTTTTAACTGTTCATGGTTCTAATACAATTTACCTAGAAAAATGGAAGTGTTCCCGTAGAACACGTGTCACGAAATTCAATTATTTAGGTCCAATTTACTATTTAGCAACAATATATCTAGAATTCTGGATATTTTTATTTGTGTTTTTAAATTATCTACCCTTCATAACTTCGCACCCGAGATTTGTAATGATTCATTCATCGCATTTAAACTAATCTTAAACTTGACCCTTCAGCAGTTAAATTAATTTCATCTCGAAAACGGGAGTGTTTGAATATTTTCTTACAGTTTCACTAATTTCTTAAAGCTTGAATTTGAACATTTATTCCCAAATTATTGTGTTGATTATGACTGTATTTAATATGTGCCTTTTGTGTTTATTTCCTATGTGCTTTGTTTTATATGATATGAAGATTCGTGAGTCATTGTCGTTGTTCATGTGAATCTTTATTTGCAAAACTGGATTTCCGTCGCCAGTGAATCAGGACGTCTAGTTGGCTACTCCTTTTTTTACTCGACGGTTCATATTAAATTTGCCGCCACATCATAAAACAGGGGGGGGGGCAATAGGTGCAGATTAAAGAGGTACTGTATTTACAAAATGAAATGCGATTTCAAAATTTTGAAATTGGTCAAATAAAGTACCTCGGTCGTGTGTCAGGGGGGGGGGGGGCAATAGGTGCAATTTCAAATTTTTTTTGCCCCCCCCCCCTGACACACGACCGAGGTTTTGCCCCCCCCCCCCCCTGACACACGACCGAGGTACTTTATTTGACCAATTTCAAAATTTTGAAATCGCATTTCATTTTGTAAATACAGTACAACCTCTTTAATCCGAACTCACGATTATCTGAACGTCCAGTAATCCGAACAGAGGCTATTTGAAGTGGATGCCTCTTTAATCCGAACTGAACTTGAAAACATGCATCTATGTACTTCTAAAAATGACCCAAGATCTTTCTGCATTATGTTGTATGGAATATTTGAAATTTTTAAAAATTACTATATTTCAATGCACTGAATTAATTAACTAACTCTGGAAAAAAGGATGAAGTCGGAGAAATGAGACCCGAAATCTACAAGACAAAGTATTTGGGTAAATTTCGAAAATCGTCGAAAATGGGTCGAAATTTGCATGAGAAAAATTTCATTTTGGAAAAAGTTTCCTAAAAATTCTTAAGAAATTCAGGGATATATATCCCGACGTGCTGATTCCAAAAATATACCATGTTTATGGTAACGGAGCAATATTATCGGAAAATTCGCTATGAAATTGGAATTTTTCAAAATTTTTAAAAATTGCGATGTTTCAACTGGACGATTCTGGAAAAATGGTTTAAGTTATCGAAGTAATGAAGCCAGAAGTGACTTCTGAGGCCTAAAATCTACAAGAAAATATATTTAGTTAAATTTCGAAAATCGTCGAGCATGGGTCGAAATTTGCATAATGGAGGTAATACGAATACATAATGGAAAATTTAATTTTTGAAAAATTCATCTAAAAATTCTGAAAAAATTCAAGGTATAGATCCCGTGGTGATGATTCCAACAAGATAGCGTCACGGAATAACATTTTTTTAGAATGTATCTATTATCCATTGTTGCTTAAGAATTCTTTAATTTTATTTAATAAAATTTAGGTTTATTTCTTGAAGTTTGTTTTCAGTTGTGTATGAAGTTGTTATTCATTTCCCTTTCAGATTTTTGGGAAAATCCCTGATCCCAACAAACCGTTAATCCGAACGCACCGTTTTCCCAATTAATTAGGATTATCGAGGTTCTACTGTACACTATACGTGTAATGAAAAAAACCAAATGTTATGTGAAAAAGAATATACTAGCTAAAATTTTATCAATTTTTTTGTTTAAAACGAATTTCTGGAAGATAGGTACAATCGCACAAAAATTGCCCCCCCCCCCTCCTAAACGAAATCCTGTATCCGCTCCTGACAAAAGCACAAGCAATAACAGCGGAAAATAAGTATAACACAAATTTTTTGAAAAATAATGTATGTATCATACCATTAGCTTAATAAAATCTTAAATTTTAAATACTCATCAAAGGAATTATATTAAATCTTGACCAGGATCGTTTAAATAATCTTCCAATACATTTTTTAACCGAAACCACGAATTTTATTAATAATTTTTTATCAGACACGTTTATTAAATAATTTGGAATTTTCTTGTAAAATTTTCATAATTTTAACATTTTATAACAAATTCCTGCAGTGCGTGTGCAATAATCATGAATAGCCTTTAAGTATAATATGAAGGATTGTTTATGAATGTAAACATTTGAAGATAAATAAACACGTTGAGGTGGGTATGTTAAGCTGCTTAAAATACTCCTGACAATCACTTCGGTATGTTAAGTTTGCTACAACTCTAATTCCCGTCTTTGTAATGTAATAATCGACGAGAAAAAACAGTGTACATAAAAAAAATAAATTTTAAAATTTGTCACAACAGTAATTTTCTGAAAATTTTAGAAAAAGTGGTTAAATGAGATACTGGACGGTAGTTATCTGAATTCCTAAGTGGTCCTATAATTTTGGTTGCACAACATTGCACAGCTTTGTTATCCAATTCTAACCTCACAATGATACCGACATTATCTGATAGATAATATACTAATGGATGTACAACAATATTAAATGTGATATTAGAAAAAATCTTATTTGTATGAATCACATTTCTGAAAGCGAAATCAACCATTAGGATTAAAGTGTAAAATAAAGTTGCTTCCACTTACATTTTTTTTTTTTTTTTGTAATCTGTTGCAATAATTTTGTCATAGATGCAAAAAGAAATTAAATTAATGGATAATGGTCCGATGGTCTAAATTAAATTTTGATAAGTATCATTCTATCAGACCCATATACAGGGATGAGCAAAAAATAACGGATAAACTCGATAATATTGTAAAATCACGTCATCTTTGAAAATACTAATAAATAATAAACTATGAGTAGGACTAAAATAAATGTTCAAAGTGTTCTTCGTTTACAATTTGGCAGTGATGTAATCAATCAACAAAATGTCTCAATGAATTATGTATAATTTTACAATAGTAGGTGTTTTTTGTATAGATTACAATAGAATGGGTAAACTGGGACACGTGGTATATATGTCAAATATCAGTTTTTCTTAGTGTTGTTAAATAGCCAGCCATTTCCAGAAAAGGCCTTAATAGCTGGATATTTAATCGGATATTTTCCAGCTATCTATTCAACACTAGTTTTTCTATAGTCGAAAATATAGAAGAGGGTCATTTGATAAAATTTCTAGAAAATCCAACCATTTTTAACGTACTTACGTTTTCCGAAAATTGAATGAGTCACGTGCTTAGACAATAAAACTGGATCACTGTGCATTGTAACAACCAATGACAGAGCTTGAATTCGAACATCTGTTATTTATTTCATCCTTCAATAATTTATTCCCAAAAAGAGATAATGGAATATGTGTACCTACGTCATATGAACAGCTAAAAAAGCTCTCCCTCATTACTTTTAAAAAAACCACACCAGTAATTCATACTCTCTCAAACAGTATTTGAAATAGTATTCAACAGGTTACAACACTGCTATAACTTATCATCAAGAACTAATCAAAAATAGTTTTTATTTCATAACAAGGAAAAGATAAATATAAAAGTAACCAAATAACTTTGAGTATTTTCAAAGCTGATGATAAATAGGTACGCACTTAACCGAAAACTGAACAACCTCCATTAGAAGTCAAATAAACCCATAACTCCATATTTTCATCTCACACTGTCAATATTTATACAATCAAAAATAATATCACCATCTCCATCACTTCAATAAATATCCTAGGAGCCAAAATAAATCCCTCTTTAGGAATTGAAGTTCCAAAAATATTATTCGACGTCATTAATTATTTTTCAAAGACCTATAAAACTCCCACTTTCTAATTACCAAACTAAATTTCTCTCATTAATTCGCGAATTGAAACAAAATAATCCAAGTCTGCGTAATTTTACACTCGTCCTTAATTAATATTAAATTACAGAGTCAAATAATTAATGAAACTGATTAAACGGGTTTAAACTATCAAACTTACTCAAAAAACTATCCAGTCCCTATGAAACACTACTCCGCACAAACTTTCACAAAAAATTCACTCGCGTGCGGCGTCGGCTCATCCCCGTGAAAAAGTGACGCTTGTAAATCAACATAGCCGTGACCAGAGCAATCTTGATAATGCGATCTGACGCGCATCGGACATATGAATTACCAAGAAATTGCCCAGACAAGATTGGATGTGGAAGTGTTTTTCTTTGGGAAAAGGGAGACGCGAGAAGGGATGCTAGAGTGTTTGTTTCTGGTTTTCAGGTGTAGGGTGAAGGTACCTACTGCTTCGCAGTTTCAAAATTGCGAAAAGTTAATAGAGTTCTGTACTGAGTACTACTAAATAGAAACTAAAAGATAAAAATATGTAGTCTCCTAGAAAAGGACCCATAATATGAACAGTACTAACAGTATTGAATGTACATAAATGGAATTTAATTGTTAAATAACTCAGTAAATATTATAAATAATTCCACTCTTAGTTTTGATTTAAATACTCAATGCTACTATTGTAAAATATGATTGCAATATTATTTCGTAGAAATTCAAGGGGACTTGTAGGTCTGTTAACCCTACGTTATTTTTCCGTGCTGTTTACGTTACGCTCATGTGGACACGAAAATTCTAATTAGCTATCAACTGTAGTGATAAGCGTGAATAATTGTAGTTCTTTTTATCGTCAGTGACGATTTCTATAATTTTGGTAATCAATTTATTAGAACATTCCTGTGGACTCCATACCATGGACCGTTCGAACATTAAAACGCATGCAATAAATTTAATAGCAGTGTTAAAGATGGATAATTTATTACTGTTAGTACTCACATTACGATTTTAAAACAACTTAAAAGATCGAATGAAATATGATGCAATTGTATCCCTTTATAGCTCGGAGAGAAAACTGAAACCTCCATTGAGTTTTGTTCGATCCCCTGCTGAAGTGCTGTCTTTAATTAACAAAATGTCAATAACGCTGCACGTTTATTTTACTGAAAATGAGTGCTATCAAATTAGAATTTAGCTAATCACACGCGATTTATGTTGTTAGTTGTACTTAGTTTTAATTGCATACAGGGAAATAATATTTTATTTATCTTCTTCATATTATATAGTTTCCTCTCTTATAATATATGTGTCCTCTATCGTTAAAATGATTTGAATTTAGTAACTTTTTTTTAAGTGTTTAAGCTTAAAATACTGAAAACTTATGTATCACGTGTATTTTAAGCACTGTTGTAACATACACAAAACAAGGCAAAGATTGTAAATTTCAAAAATACTCCATACTTTCAACTCAATTCAATGTCAGCCGTAAATTTTACATAGATGTTTCTTTTAAAGTGACAGTTGGGTAATAACTAGTTCTTTGATATTTGATATATTGACTTTTCCAACCATTTTAAAAGTTTCTTATTCACTGCATTTCAGACTCACAACAAAGTTAGCTAAAATAAAAAATTATTGATGCAGTTGCATTAGATAACACAGAACTGGTCAAAAGTTCCGATAAAATAATATACCTCTATACTTGTGGTTTATAAACCTGCCTTGATTTTTTACCTAGGCGTCCCGATTTTCCCCAAAAAAAATCCAAATTGTATTCGGTTGGTACATTAAGTAGACGTGTGCTAAAAATGTCGAATTACTAACATGAAGGTCGCTGGTTTGAATGATTCATGGGTCACATTTTTGTATATTAAATCAAGAACACATCACCACATTTTCTCAAAAATTTAAAAATACAGTAATGTTGTGCCCACCTATATTTACTAATAATAAAAAATTAGAATTATAATAGTAATATTCAGAACGATTTGCTCCATTGTAGCTTAATTCATAATTTTAGTCGCCTCGTTTTAAGCATGTACTGATAATAATACATTTTTTCCGTTGCTTATCTGCTTTAAATATATTTCATTTTGGAATTATTAAAGAAAAATTGAATTGAGAAATACCAATATCAAACTTTTTTACTTGAAAAATTAGTTTAAAAATAATAATTAAACATAATAATGGACTAATAGTGGACACAACTCTAAAAAAACTTAATTTTGTTTAATTCGATTAGAACACATATGTCAAACATTTCGTGTACCCTAAATTAACATTAATTCTGTAATCAACAAGTCTTGATTTTGTGTTTATTACCTATTGTTTTCACTTTTTTGACGTTTCATGATCTCCAGAATACAAAAAAATAGGTCTCCGGTTTCTGTCATTTATCGTCTGTGTCGATTTTTAATAGACAGATAATAAACGAAACTACTGGACCCATTTTTATCAAATTTTATAATTTATATGTATGTTAGAAATATCGTGTAACCAACAATGTGGTGTCCCCTCAAAATTTTGCTTGGTAAATGTTATTTAAATTTTATAAAATAATATACTTGTGCTTTATGAATCCACCTTGAGGCTTTCCAGGAAAAAATCGAAATTGTATAACAACCCTTTTTGCTAATACCATATGAACGAAACAAAATCCATTAGTGGGCCATGAAATTTATTTTTAAATATTGATATTTTTTTTATTCAATTTTTATTCCAAACAAAACTTAATACAGATACCGGGTGAGCATTAATGATTCAAGCAAATTGTATGTTGGCAATTCTGAATTCTATACAACAATGGTAGTGTGTTAATTCACAGTTGTCACTTTTGACATTAGCGCTCCTCACAAACATAACAGGAGATGGAGCTCCTGTTATGCGATAAATTTCAGTTTGACAATCACGTACGCCATCATGAAATTTGTTGCCAACCTGACCAAAAAAATCACAAACAGTACTAGTCACTCGGTATATTTTTAATGCGGTTTTTCTTAAACATTCGAAAAGTGAAAAATACACGGAATGATGAATACACAGGGTGCTCAAAAATGGTGCACCAACTATATGACTCGTTGCTCAGGACAATTTATCGAGCGGAGAAAAAATTATTTAAAAAATCCTTTTGTCCAAATGTAGAGGCTATAGCCCTTCAAAGTTTTTGTTTTTTCGAAATTTCACCATATTTTAATTCACTTCTTGGGTATCTAAAATCGATTGGACTTTCGTTATTCCAAATAACTTTGGAGCCATCTTGTCTTTCTCTATAGATTTCTTCATTTTATAACATTACAAAACCTAAAAATCTCTATCTAAATCGATATTTTGTTTTTGTAAGTGAAGGTCAAATTGACGTAAAAAATGGTTTTTTTTTTCGAACTTGGACTTGTAAATTTAAATATATTTCGTTGAGTTAGTGGACTATTTTTTTAACACCCTGTATAAATTAAGTTAGGGTCATTCCCGGCTAAACTGAAAAATACAGTATAACCTCTATAATCCGAACATCCAGTAATCCAGAATCCAGAAATTTGCTAGTACTTGCCAAATAACCTACCCCCTAAGAAAATAATAGGCTGGTGGATCAGGCTAGTATTTGTCAAAATAAGACTCATTTTGGCAAATGACCTACTCTTCTAAGAAAAGGTACTAGCCCCGCCCACCCACCCTTTATTTTCTTAGAAGAGTGGGTCATCTGCCAAAATCAGTCTTATCTTAACAAGTACTAGGCCCGCCCACCCACCCTTATTTTCTTAGAGGATATGTCATTTGCAAAAATTAGTCTCCTACCTGCCAAGATAAGACTGATTTTGACTTGAAAAATCAAAAGATTGTAATTAAAAACTGATAAATTGTCAAACAACTCATCAAATGAAATATACAAAAGTTGAAAAATCTAAAAACTGAAAAAAATGAAAACTGGAATTTCGAATTCGATTTTATAAGATTTGTTTTTTTTTCAATTTTTCGATATTTCAGTTTTTGATTTTCCGATTAAACAGTTTTACAATTTTCCGATTTCTCATTTATCCTATTTTTCAATTTTTCATTTTTTGATTTTTGAGTTTTTTTATTTTTACCTACCCTTATTTTCTCAGAGGATATATCATTTACCAAAATTAGTCTCATCTTAACAAGTACTAGCTCCGCCCACCCACCCTTTATTTTCTTAGAAGAGTGGGTCATCTGCCAAAATCAGTCTTATCTTGACAAGTACTAGCCCCGCCCACCCACCCTTATTTTCTTAGAAGAGTGGGTCATCTGCCAAAATCAGTCTTATCTTGACAAGTACTAGCCCCGCCCACCCACCCTTATTTTCTCAGAGGATAAGTCATTTGCCAAAATCAGTCTCATCTTGACAAGTACTAGCCCCGCCCACCCACCCTTTATTTTCTTAGAAGAGTGGGTCATCTGCCAAAATCAGTCTTATTTTGACAAGTACTAGCCCCGCCCACCCACCCTTATTTTCTTAGAAGAGTGGGTCATCTGCCAAAATCAGTCTTATCTTGACAACTGCTAGCCCCGCCCACCCACCCTTATTTTCTTAGAGGATATGTCATTTGCAAAAATCAGTCTTATACTTGCCAAGATATGATTGATTTTGGCAGATGACCTACTCTTCTAAAAAAATAAAGGGTGGATGGGCGCGGCTAGTACCTTTTCTTTTCTAACCTGGCCCACGCGCCTTTTATTTTCTTAGAGGGTAGGTTATTTGGCAAGTACTACCATAGTGTAAAATTTCATTTTTGGGAAACTTGTCTAAAAATTCTGAAAAAATTCAGAGATCTATATATCCCGACATGCTGATTCCAAAAATATAGCATGTTTATGGTAACAGAGCAGTATTTTCGGAAAATTCAGTGTGAAATTCGACTTTTTTTAAATTTTTTAAAATTACGATATTTCAATGGACGATTCGGGAAAAACGGTTTAAGTTATCGAAGAAATGAAGCCAGAAGTGACTTGAGCGGTCCAAAATCTACATGGAAACATTTAGTTAAATTTCGAAAATCGTCGAGAATGGGTCGAAATTTGCATAAGGGAGGTAATACGAATACACCCAATTAATTCGGATTACCGAGGTTATACTGTACAAAAAAATTGGAAATATCTATAAACGGTTTATTTTGTATCAATAAAAAACGTATATACAGAGTGAATCACTAAGTGAGCGTTTCTTGATATCTCATTAAAGAGTTCTTTGAGCAACATACACTAAATTTATTATCAACTATATAGAATATTCTGCTTTTCAGTCACAACATACAACTTTTTTTTTTCATAAAACAAACATCCTATATATATTTTCTGCAAGCAAACCAATAAACATAAT